GGGGCTCACGGGAGGGGGGGCAGGGGGGGCCGCTCCCGCGCAGCCGAAATAGCTCAGTTGGGAGAGCGTTAGACTGAAGATCTAAAGGTCCCTGGTTCGATCCCGGGTTTCGGCAAATGCTTCTTTTCCTGGCCCAGGGGTTGGCAAACCCCCCCCTGTTCTCCCCGTCACCCCCCACCCCGCTGACCGAGCCAACAACCCCCACAGCACGTTCGGGTTTTTGTTTTAATATCCTCAGAAGCAGCGGGAGCAGCCCGGGCAGGTCGGGGTGTCAGTGCTGGTGGGCAGGGGGGGAAGGTGCCTCAATTAACACCAGACACTAACAAGGAGCTCAGGCTGCAGGGGAATTAAAAGGGCAATTTAAATATACCCACATCATTAGCATCTAGCCCAGATGCACAGCTGTGTCCCCACTGACATTTCAACTTCCTCCTTCCTTTGAAGCCCTTTTGCCTTCCCCTGGACAATTCTCCTTATGATAGAGAAAAATATGAATCATTTGGCTTCATAATTAAATGACCAATTAACACTGAGTTGTTGCCAGAGAAGGTGGCAAAGCTGCACCTGGAGGGAGGGAACCACAATTCAAGGTGGTGTTTCCAGAGATAATTCAAAGTGCTCCTGAACTCGGGGCCTCTGGTTCACCCAGGGTTCCAGGGCTGGAGGGGGAAGTGCAGGGGTTTGTGTCCCCAGCCCTGCTGGAGCTGTAAAAAGCCTCTGTCACACCAGCTGCAGCACCAGGCACCACTTTTATTTCCCACCTTTTCAACACCCAGGGCAGGGGAGGCAGCAGCAGCACAGGGCTCCACCCCCCACCCACCATCTCCCCTTCCTCACGTTTTGGCCCAATGCCCCAGGCAGCTCAGGGTCCCAGGCAGGAGCTCTGCAGAACAGGGGGGGCTTGGGCAGCTTTGGTTGAGGGGTTCCTGCCCCTTCGGGGGGGGGGGGGGGGGGTTGTTAAACAGGCCCAGGGAAGGAGGTCCCAAGGCAGGGTGGGGAACG